AGCGACACTCTGGCGCTAGGTTTACTTAACAGTATTATGTTTCGTTCATATTATAACTCAGAATGCACAAAATTTATATCACTTAAAGAATTATCTAATCGCTGCCACATGTTCTATTCAAATACTATAATAAAGCTAGAACTATGTATAAAAGAAATTAAGCAAACAAAACAAAAAAGAAACAGTTTTTCACAGACGATTGAGTATTTCTCATTCAATTAATTCAGTTTTCACTTCGCGACAAGGCAAAAATACATAAAAACTCAAAATATCTGTATTAAAAATTACGAAGTAAATCTTAAACGTTTATTTAATTTTTAATGGCTTATTTAATTTTATGGTAATTTAATTTTTAATTAACCCAAATAAGTAAAATGTGTAAGCCTAAAGTGATTATTTTTCAGATATATAAAATTAAAACGATGAGTTTAAAATGAGCAGAAGTAAAGTCTCTCCTGTAAAAAATTTTAAAAGGTACATGTTAGAATAATATATGGATATGAAAAAAATTTATTTTATTTAAAACATTTTGGCGTTTGAAACATAAAATAAAAGTAGCGAATAGTCTATCAAGGGTATCGAAAGACGTATACAATTTTAAAGGTACCGTAAGGTATTTTTCATTCTTTTAAGCATAACATTTTTGTTAAAATCTATATTTTTGTAGTTCAACAGCTTAGAATTTTATAAAACAAATTCATAATCAAAATCGCTGTTGTTAGTATCGAAAAATAACCAAGATGTGATTTTTGCGTAAATGTCACTAAACTATACAAATTGCTATTATCCATCACACTATGAATGTTTCTTTCATGCGAGAGTGTCCCTTTTTCGATTTCTATGGAACTGTCGTGTGTCGAAATACTATCAGAACACTGTCAAGCGAGCTTCTATACGTAAGCAAAGAACACCCCATCTGGTGACCGAGCTTCGAAGCAGTGCTTCACTTCCAGCGCCGGTTGGCCACTCCTTCCTTTCTTACCTCCATGGTCTAAGCACTGCCCGAAACCTCTAGAAGATATTGAGAAGTTGTTGATGTGGATTAACGAGAAGTAGTTAAAAGGCGATTCGTTGTCGGAAGCTATCATTTGCGTTAAGGCTAAGAATCTGTATTTGGACCTTCTACGAAAAACACCAGGTATTATTTACTAGTGTTATTTATCAGGAAACTTGATTTATATGTAGATATTTTTGGGGAGTGCGCAACGGATTAACTGGATTTTCATTATTTTCAATGGGGAAGTTTGTTTCTAGATACGAGAAATTTGCTATACGAGTTCAGTGGTAAAACAAATTAAACTCGCATCTCGAGGTTCCAGTGTATATGGAAAATACGGAAGGAATTCCGCATAGCAATGCTATCAAGCAGAAAAATATTACTGCCTCAAAGTGCGCTTTTTATTCAATTTTGCACTGACAGCGGCACTATTGTGTTTTCAGAATGCGTTTTGAAAGTATTGTTTTCTTACTGTCGGCAATTTCTATATTTAGTTTGGAAATTAGGGGAAAGTTGATCTATATATCAAAATGTTTTCTGAGAGTGAATTTTTAAAAGCCTTTCGATATGAAATTTTAGAAAATATGCGAAAAAAATGACATGCTTTTAATTAAATGTTCTAAAATCTAAAAAATTATTTTTTTCTTAATCATATTATTCGGTACTTATGTATTATCTCAACCACCTTAGTAGAAATCGCCAAAGTTTCAGAATACAATAAGCTGTTATAACCACGGGCGTAACAACTATTCAGGCAACCAATGCGTATGACAAATATTCAGTTTCCAAAGTAGCCATTTTCGTATGCTCTCTTTTTATTGTATTCCAAGTTCCAATGGCTTTTGTAAAAAATTTATAATTGCTTTTTGTCTTAAATTCGATTTAAAAATTTTTGCTTGTAGGATTTTTCTATAAGAAACAAAAGCGAGGTGAAATTTTTGTAGCAATATGTTATTTTGCCCCCGAATCGCTAAAGGAACAATAACAATGCTTCGAATTCTTTTTCAAAGTGATCGCTACGAAATTTCTGTCACAACAACAACAAAAACTCTTTTGTAACTAGGTTCACTGACTTTCTTTTGGAATAAATAGTGAAAACGTAGAATATGTATGTAATAAATTTTTTACAGTAATATTTCGTTTTTTTTTTTTTTATATATATATAAAATTCGCCAAACTGCGCCAAGGTGGTTGCTGTAATACGTAAATATCTATTATTCTTTGTCATATTTGACTAAAATTTAAATCGCAGAACCACTCTAAACACGACAGATTTGTAAATCAAATGTGTCGAAGAGGTATTTAAGAAAACAATGTAATTACGCCCCCCTCCCTAATCGATATCCTTGGAAATAAGATCCCCCTCTTTTTATTGCTACATTCTTCTCCTACAAATTACTAGGGTGTTCTAAATGGGTATCTTGTTGAAATTACAGAAGGCGAGAAAGAAGTTTAATTATCATACCACAGAAAATAATTACATTGTTTAAATACTAAATAAACCGTATAGGTAATTATCGTATACAAACCATAACTTCCCCTAATTATAATAGCTATGACTTCTAATACCTAGCAGATTTTAATTTAGGCTTGCATCCACTGTAGTGATTGATCTCTGGTATGCCTGAAACCATGTAGGCAACAATGTCTGTGGGGCACAATTCATGATGCTATTATTTCAAGAATATTCTGACAAAGGTGGAGGGGGGGATTTTTCAAACAAGCAATAGCCAAATTAAAAAAAAAAATTAATGAAATTAAAAAAATAATAAACATAACAGAAGAGGAATTCAATCAAACTTCCACTTCAGTTCCACTTCATCGGGGGGGGGGGGGGGGAGGGGGGAGGAACATTGAAATCAATCCTTGCTTTTCTGTATCTAGAATTAGCCGATGAACCATTTCAATGTATTGTAATTATAAAAGTTCACCTCAAAATTCTGGCCCTTCCCCAAAGCAAGGGTAAAAACAAAGTAAATTCTAATTAAAATCTTCAACCTTAAATAAAGAGAATTATATTTTATTTAAAGAATTGAAAACGTAAGTGAAAAAATAAAAGTCTTCGGTGGAAAATTTAAATCAAAATTTTTACCTTTAAACATATAGCATATAAGCCAAAGAATTAATGCGCGAAAATACTAGGCATGTTTATATTTTCTTTTAAAAAATTGTTTTACATACATATACATATAATATAATAATAATTTATAATAAGAAAACTTTCCATATACCATCTCCAAGGAAGAGAATTTCAATTTAAAACCACCAAAGAAAAACAAATGTCTGTGTTTTAATTAGAATTTTAAATTAGTATTTTCAAGACCTCCTAAGCTTTAAAAACAAATTCTGCTAAGGAAAATCTTTAACCGCAAAAATACCAAAATCAAATGTAATTTTTTTAAAGAATTGAGAAAGTACCTATAGCTCGCAGATTAAACGACTTCTCAAGGAGATAAACCAGTCTACCATGAATTAACAACAACTAAATTAAGAGAGAGTGTTTCATCTTACTTTCCAGGCACACCAGCGGCCGAGCGGTAACGTCGCTGAACACTGGTAGTTCGGTCCGTGGTTCGAATCCCGCGAACGGGCATGGCCCCATGCTCAACGTGTATACGAGCCAATTTCCCTTAGAAAGTCCTCCACGGAGGCATCCCTCCCTCAAGGCATATAGCTCTCGAGTGCTTTGCCGTAATCTAATAAAACAAACAAATATATTACTTTCCAAGTAAGCGTCAATTGTTTTGCTAGATCCAAATCATGAATTACTATTAATACTCAATCAAAATAAAGGCTTAATTCCATTTAAGCCGAAAGAATCCTTTTAAACAAAATAAATAGTAAATAATCTTTAAAATTAAAGTTGCTCATCAAGAATACAACTAAACGAGATGCTTACTTTAGAAGATATATTCCCAATACTCTCATTTTCAAACTCAAATACAAAAGTAAAATCAAAAGTATACATTTTAGGACATTAAAAAGTAATTCAAAATTATAAGAAGATAAATAAAAAAAAGAAAGAATCCTTAAAATTAAAGTTTAAAACAAACATATATATATTTAAAAAAAAATTCAATGTAAGATTTTTGAAAAAGCGATATAACTCGATAATTTATTTTCGAAATTCCAAAAAACTTTTGTTTAGAATATATTTTGTTTTATCCAGTGGCGTAATGGTGTTTTATGGAATGATAGAAATATTTTGTTTTATCCAATGGTGTAAAGATAAATGTCTGCCATGATTAGTTTGACCATTAAATAACGATGTGTGCGAAGAACTCAAAATTAAATTTTTTTAAAAAATAAATTTTTTTTTTTAATATAGAATTTTGAAGAAAACAAAAAGGATGTGGGTTTAAAATTCACGAGAGCTAAATATCCCAATAAAGATGCGCACAAGTAAGCAGTGTACCGGCCCTTCTTATCAGAACATTCTGTCAAAATGTAAAAATTCTCGAGGATTCTTTAAACATATTTCTGAGAACGTGTCTAATAATCTTCCACCAATATTAATGTAGACTAGCTTTTTAAAAAGGATTATAATTTAATTCTTTTAAATGAATTTAAATCTGCACTGCTTAGATTCAGATTCATAAGAATCGTGAGAATGTCCATGACAAGACTGAAAACTCATTAATCAAAACAAGCTTTCAGTCCTTTGAAAAAGAATCCTTATTAAAGAGACATCTACTTCAAAAAAAATTCTGAACTCTTATCTGAACATAATCAGCAATGGAGATCTTAAGATTAATCTGCAGAGGGTGTAGGCACTTAGAAATAATTTGCATGTTCTTTGTCCAAAACCCACCCAACCAACGGTAACAGCCAATGGGAGCTGCTCTCTCCTGTGTTCCCTGCCGAAGAATGGTGGAGTGTATCTTTTTCGCGCTATCATTGGATCGCTTCCGAAGAGTTTTGCTTTTGTTTCTACTTTGTTTATCTCTGAAGAATCTTGAATGTAGAAATAGAGTAAAGTGGCCCGATGGGCGATAAAGTTTACCTCGAGATAAAAAGCAAAGGAACAATTTTGATCTGTATCTTAATCAGTTTGAGCGCTGCGGTACGGTAGGTTTTTATTTTTATTTTGTTTTATACGACATTTTTTATTGTAAAATTCATTCTGAAATCTCCTTGGATATCGATTCGCGATTATTATCATGACAGCGCTTGTTTCTTAACTGAGGAATAATGTAGTGATAATTCGAATCTTTCTTTCACACACGCAAAAGTTTCATTTTAAAAATACAATGATAACAATCATTAAAGATTCTGAGATGTTTACAAGATTAAATTGATGATGCCAAAGTTTCTTAAGCGCCTAGAATCTTGCTCATGATAAATCTATTGATTGAGTGTTTCTATTCCTCAAAAAGTATAAATACTACCAATATAAAATTTTCGCAAGTCATGCTTATTATTTATTTAAAAAATTGTCAAATTAAAATGTTTCTCACCTAGGTCAGAGTTTTCAACTTAACCTGGCATACTTTGTTGTTTTCGTTGATAAATTCAAAATCTCATGTTAAAAATTTCAAACTGTTATGCAAGTAGTTATTGAGAAAACAAGGAATATTAATAATTTAAAAATACATATTCTGACAAAAATCAGCTCCAAAATTTATTTTTTTAACATAAACAATGTTACTAATATATCAATGTATGATAAATTTACACATTGCCGGTGCCCATTTCTTCACATTATGTGAAGTTTTATTTGTCATCGTCATAAATTATTGTGCCAAATTTTTATTTATTTATTTATTTGTCATGAACTCTGAAAATTTCTCAGTCGATAATGCTTTTCTTTCCCTCTGCGCCCCTCTTGTTTTGCAAGCGATGTAACATCTAGACGTATTTCAGATTTCTCTAAAGTATAATATTTTATTGGACTATACCATAAAACTGTACCATAGATACTGGCTTGAGCGTATTCAACACAATCTCTGTCTTGGAACTGAATCATTAAGATTGAGTTTTCCCAGAAACTGATTTTTGTGGAGGCTCTAAGATGAGACAAGTTTTTTAATGTAGTTTCAAAGCAATGCTGTGTCTACACATTTGTTAGTTGCGTTATGCTGCTCTGCTAAATTGCTTAAATCACAATGGATTCTATGTCATGTAGCTGATTATGTGCAGGGAAAGCCAAAGCAATAAGCGAAGTTTCAAGAACTTCCCTTTCCCGGTCACACAATCAAGCACTTTAGAGGGATTTTTGCCATTTTTGTGCTGATTGCGTACATTGAAATACTCAAGGGCTATCTGCCTAGGGAAGAACTTTTGGTGGGAAATTTGTTTGTTGTTATTTTACACATGGCGGAAATCACAAAAACGTGTGTGCACAAGGGCATGAACCTAGGTTGAAAAACCAGCAATCGCTAGTTTTATCCACTGGGGACACTTGTGAGTAAATCTCAAAAGAAACCTTTTTAAGAATTTTAGATAAAAACTGATCACTAGCAGCTCCGCTTAGGTTCAAGGGCTAGCTAATGGGTCTTTTCGTAGTTTTTCTCATTTGGAGTATTAATACGAGTATATATTCCCTTAAGCATACAGTCCTGGTACACTTTCCCTCATTCAGCCAAAGAGGAAATAACATCTAGAATTTTGAGTTAATCTTTGGATTATGGTAACTTGGCGATTTTTTGGCGAAAATTTGGCGACCAACCCTGCTACAGCAACCTGCTAGTTTTTGTTTGAATGACATTTTGTTTTCACAAAGTAAAAGCATGTTTTTTTTTTTTTTTTTTTTTTTTTTTTTTTTTTTTTTTAACTCAACATTTTTTTCCAACAATCTGCTAGCCGAATTACGCTTATGCTAGAACTTTTATGGAACAAAAGTGCTTAATCATGACGAAGATTAGGTGCGAAATTGGAAGAAAGTGCAGAATCGCAAACTGCTTGCCGCGTTTTTAAGAATTGCACATACATGGTAACCATGTGCACGTCGACCTATTTTCACTTAAAAAAAAATCCCAGAATTGCACAAAAATGGCATTGCACACACTCTTGACTTTATCCATGTACACTGCTAAAGTCCTAGCTAGTAACCTTTATCGCCTTACCAAAATGTCGCCAAACTACCTGTTACCATATTTCAAAGATTAGCCGAATTTTGTTATTGGAGGGAGAAAGAATGTTATATGAGTATGAGCTATATGGAGTTGTAAGTCTTCTTCATTTATGTATTTACTTCAACTTTAAAAGTTTGGACAGTGTTCATAATTTGATTTGTTATTAGTTGACACACATACAGAAATAATAATAATAAAAAAATTTGAAAGCATTCAGATTTTACATTACGCCCAAAGGAGCGTTTTTTTTTAACGTTTTGCGTGTTACCTTTATGTATTAAACATCATGCTCTTTGCCTTAAACCGTAAAACTCAATTCAACAGCAGTATCGCAAAATAATTTAAAAATTTTCCGATACACAATCTCACGCGCCGGAGATAATTCCCCACCCCCTCCGTACTGTGTTGTCATTGCTCGCTTTGAAATTTTTGAGTTTGTTAATAAAAACTTCGTTAAAGTGTTACAAAATATGAAGTCGATAGTAAAACAAATTCCAAATTAGGGCTTCCAGATGCCCATATTCGGTGCAGGATTACGTTATTCACAATTTGATGGCTCTAGGTACCGTTGTTTTATCACAATGCGAGAAACATAAATACATGCTGATAGCTTCATTATTTAATTTCTTCAAATGTAACACAGGGCGTTAATATTTGGAAGCAGCAATATGAAAAGTGAAGCGGACATTTAAACCTTCCAACGCAAAATGCCAAAATGAAATTAATAGTCCTTCTGGGCTAACGCACTTTGGGCTGGGGGGGGAATAAATAAAAATTGTGCCAGCTACCCTCTGCGCCATTTGTACTTCTGCCACTGTATTTTATCCTTGTTGGTATACCTTCCTTCTTCACAGCTTTCTTTCAAACTAACTTTATCTATTCAATTGGAGTACAAATTAACTTTTATTCGGAAAAAGTCCTTGGTACCAAAACTCTTCAGGCTTCTTAATAAATTCGCTTGCTAATTCTCTCTTTTCTGAGTTAACATAATTTATGAATGGCTTTCTTATACAGTTAGTCACAAAAGTCTGCGTACAGACTAAATTTTAAATTAAAAAAACACTTAAAGCATAGAAAAATGTATTTTAATCATTGCATTTTTTTCTTCTATTAGCTAAAATTGTAAGCTTAAATAAAAAGTAAATAATATCAGTGTAATACTTTTTACATTTTTTTCCAAAATATATTTTGTCAGAAAAACTCAGAAATTCCCTCCAATAAGTCTGCGTACACTTTCAAAAAAAAAAGTAAAATATATGTTTTTACATTACTTATATACTTTGTAGGATATCCTTTATTCTTCAAAACAGCTTGCAGACGTCTGGGCATTGACTGAACTAGTTCTTCAGTGTCATCCGACGTAAGTAGTATAAAAATGGGCGTTCTGCATCAGGTGGATCAGTGGATCAGGGGGCGTGGTCAATGACATCACAGAGGGCGGGGCCAAAGGCAACGTCATCACACTAGGAGGCGTGGTTTCGATTGGAGTTGAGTTGTTGGTAGACTGCTGGTTGAGTTGTAGACCTCCTGCTTTTCATTTAAAGTTAGTTTTTTTATATTGGCAACGGGAAATATTTTCTGCATCTTAATTTTGATGATATAGCGATGCTGCCCTCTCTTGACGAAAAAGTGAATTATATGTTTTTAGAAATATACTTTTTTAAGTCTGGTGTTAAAATTATTTCAATGCGCGACTCTGAAAACAATGTAAAAAAAACAAATATAAAAAAGACTTTCCTTTAATGATAGTTCATCATGTCATGAAAATGAAATTACAAGATAATTTGTTTTTATTACTCAATTTTATTCTGATACTTTTATCCTTTCTAGTTTTTAAATGAAACTTTAACTTATTTCTTAGGTTTTTCTGTTCATAATAACATATTCATTTACTGTCATATTTTTTTAATATTTAACACGTTTCTAATTTGTAATATTTATTTAATTTCCACATACTATTTTTTTTTTCATACCTTTCATAAATTTCAGCATACCCTGATTTTTAACTTATATGTTATATTTCACAAACGTTCCCGCACATGCTGTTTATTTGTTACATTACTTAATTTTAGATGCAATTTAACACTTTTTTTAACGTTATAATGTTCAATATATTCTGAATTTTAACTTCATTTACTTTTTTTAAACCACTCTAGTATTCTATACACACTTTAACTTAGTGGTATGAAATTGTATTTAAAAAGAAACGTTTATTTTTCGTGATCTTAGTTTTTCTTTTACTAAATTTTCTACAGAATTTCTAATTTCTTTCACGTGTTTAACAATATCTTCCTTACATTACCGAATATTTTTTTTAAAAAAAACTTAAGTCTATAACTGTTAATTGCTTTTCTTACGTTCATGATTTCCCTTCTGTGTTTATATTTCTTAATTCTAGCTTAACTTATTTATTATAATGTTTTTATTTCTGTTCTCTCTCATCACTCGTAATTCCAACATTTTATCCCTTTTTTTTATTCATTTTAACGATATGGATTGTTTTCATTTACTCCATATTCAAATATTTCCTTACAATTTTTATAATACTTGTTTTATTCCTCGATCATAATAGATCATCTACAGGTTTTTACTCAGAAATTTCCATTCACAACTTTACAGTTTAATACCATTTATATCTAAATGTATTTCTTTCTTATATAGTTTTTATGGTCTTCAAAGTTTTCTAACATCATATTTAGTTTTAAATCCCGATTACCTTTAAGTGTGTGTTGATAATTTTCATTTCTAATTTTACAACCACGTTCAGTGTTTTCATCATCCACACATACCAAAATATTTCTTACATTTTCTGATATTTAGTCTATGTCATATTCAGTACTTCAAAATGAATTTAACACTGCTCACACTATTATTTTTTCATCATGTTTAGAGAGACACTAACTATACTAATTTTTACTATTTTTCCTGCACTAATTGCATCTATGTCAGCACTCATGCTAAACTAGCAATTGTTTTGCATCACATGCAT